TCAGCTCTCTCTCATGAGAACTGACTCGTCTGGAACCCGATGATCTGAAGGATTTGGGCGAAAGTGCTGTCCTATTCGATGTAGGTCGAATATCTTTTGAACAAAAACAAATCTCGAAAAAGTGGATGTATAACTTTGTAGAGCTTTAAACGGCGAATCGAACGGTGTAAAACTTTTGGCTCTGCGACCTCTCCAGGCGGAATTGATGCATTTGCAAAAACAGTTGTCGCATTTTCGTCGCAGTAGTTTCGGCCTTCCGCAAAAACCCATTCCTCGTCTTGGAGATCTGAAAACTACATGACTAGTTTCAGTGTTTGATGCTGAATCCGAATATCGAAACCGCAAATCTCTACGATCTTTCTCGATGGAGTTATGGGCATTTTTCGAAAAACGGGTATTTTTCCGGTTTTTGACCATCGCTCTGTATTTTGGAATTTTCTCGGCGAGGAAAGGGTTTTGGGAGCCGGGATGGTGATATTCGTGATTGCCGTCCGATTCTCTATCGAATGGTGTATAAATCAACCAAATCTATTTTTTCACTACATTTTTGAATGAGCTGCATCTTATTAAAACTCCTCCATAAATTTCTTTATCAATTGCATTCACGGCATGATCCCAGAATATTTTTCAATAATCACATTTTTTTAAATTCGAAAAACGTAAGCCGAGAGCCATTTGTTCCGATGCTGTAACACCGTATTTTGCTTGAAAATTCATGTAGTCTTTATTTTAAACTTTTTCGACATTTCTGCATTCTTTAATCACTATGATTGTCTTAGCATTTTCAACAAAACGAACACTCTTCGAATTGATTTTATTTTATTTATTTATTTTATTTATTTCCTATTCTTAATTTTTTGTGAATAAGTACTTACAGTCACAAATCATATTTGTTGTGTTCTATTTGCTCTATCAATTAAATACATCGAAAATAGGCGATATATTGCTGGACAGTTTTTGTTGAAAAACAAAATCAACTAGTCTTTATCAAAGAATTTAAATGAGAACCACCTTTTTTCAAAACGAAACAAGGAACACAATTCTTTCCAGTATAATTTCCCAGGTAAAGAAATGTGCGGTACGAAACCATAAAAAACAATCACGTATCGACGTTTTTCGTATCGTACCGAGTTCGGATAGTACGGTATCATAAATGGTACCTGACTTTTACATAACCCAATAGTACCAAAAAAAAGCCCGAAACCAAAAACTTTGGTACCAAACCATAAAAATTCTCACGTGGATTCTGGACACAGTAATCTGATGGCTATCACAGAGTTCGATAATCACCTTCGAAAGCACCGGACTATTTAACTCTGACCAGTCTGATCTATCAACATTTTAAGTTGCTGACGATGGATATGCAAGGCGGGTATGCTGTCTTTTTCCTTTCCAGTTATCACCTAGTTTTTCCATTGCCAGTAGAATTGTTGTTCATGTATTATGATTGATCTTCCAACTGCTTAAATATTAATTTTTTTTTTCTTTTAAATACAAAGACATAATTCACCATGTCCTTTTTAAAAAATGTTTATTAGAATCATTTGTTTAAAGTAGATGATGACGTAAATGAAAAATCATAGATATTGTCTACATTTTACACTGTTAATCATATCTGTAATACTCTATTTTTTAAATACCCATATTTCCTTTAAAAAACTGTTTGAATTGTATCAGACAAAAAAAACAAAAAAAAAACAATCGTGGTGATTATCCATATAGATAAAAAACAAGATGCACACACAATGTTTGATAATTAAAGAAGAATAATAAACTCAATAACATAAGAATGATAATCAATAACAAATGGAATTTTAAGCATTGACAACAACAGAATCTTAACCACATGCATAAAAAATAAAGACGGGCAGACAGCACAAAACAGCTTGAATAAAAAATGTTAATGGCAACATTGAAAAAGAGAGGTTTTAACAACACTATGTGCCGTTGGACTACTCGTTCAATCACAAAAGTTGTTGAGCTGAAATTATTGCAAATAGCAATCCAAGAAGTATCGTTCATAAAAAATTTGATTTAGCATGGTGTTTCACTACGAACTGATTATAAGAGATGAATTTAAACGTAAATCTTACTTATTTGGTCCACAGGAATGATAACTAAGTAACTATGAAATAAGTAGTCGAAAATGCTTTACAATAGGGGATGGAATAGGTTCAAAAAGCCCCGTTGCAAAAAAAGAGAAAGACATAGTTGTTTCGCAGTTTTTCGCATCCTAGATTACTTTTCAGCTGTTTTCTCATTCAGAGCTAGCCCGATCACCCCTTGTCTGACTGTGTACATAGGTTTAACTGAAGCAATGACTTACGAAGTAAAATTTTGCATTGTCTTACTAAAAACTGAGCTAAAACACACCGGAAAAGGACTGATGCTCGACCGGATATTTAATGCACACGCTTTTTGTGTAGGTGCGCCTTGAAAATATGCATAGTAATCATTTATGTAACAGTTGTTGCATAACAAAAATATGTAAGAACCAAAAGGTGAGTAAATGCGACTTCGTACGGCATATGCCATTTTCTTTTCTCTTCGGATATCTTAGTGTTCCTTGATAAAGAAAATAACTAAAAATTAATAACAAACAACGTAGAGAAAGAGAGAGAAAAATATAAGATCGTGTATGAGAATGAAATACCCTATAGTACAGTGTTCGAAATGTAATAAAAACACAAGTTAAAAGGTGTCCCTAGATAAGAGCTAACAAGAAGAAAACAACAAAAAATATACTTGATGATTGAAAGAAAATATTCAGTGAAATTTCGTCGAATAAAAAAATTAAAAAAAAAGATACGGAATGTATTTGAAAAATGACAAGCTCAAAATTTATATATAAAAATGCGTTGTTGACTTTTTTCCGATCCCACAAAAAAACAACAACAGCACCATGTACAAAGACGAAGAGAATAAAGATCACCAATAAGTGTGTGGGGCGAAATATCGGAAAGTTAAACAACATCAATTAAATCGTACGTTGATGGTTTTCTGATCCAGTTTTCAACACTGTCATTTCATATTGCACTTAAATGAACTAGACCTGACTTATGTGTAAAAAATTGGTAATAGATACGAAAACAAGTTTGCAGCACCAGCAATATAATATAAGAGTAAGAAGAACTAATATCAATTAATTAATTGTTGTTCGTGTCCGAGAACAACTGGCTGATTTGTTGGAAGTATTGAATTATTATCATCAACCTCAATATCACGCTCTTCCATAGTATCTTCGCCTAGATCTCCAGCTTTATTTCTCAATAAAAATAAACTATCTGAGTGACGAAACGGCTTTTTCTTATGTTCATCGTATTCATCAATATCATCTTCGCTATCTTTTCTTTCTGAGTTTTTCTGTTCAATTGAATAATCTTCATGTTGAAGTGAACTACAAAAAAGTACACACATATACAAATATATAAAGCAAGAGGTGATTCAACTTCATACTCGAAATGAATATCTGAAATGTTTATTGGAATGTTATTACTCTTTTTCTCCTCTTGTTTGTCCTCGTCAACATTATCATCATAATCATCAATAGTAAAAGGTGATTTGACAGCAGGTATTGTTGGTTCTGAGTTATTGTTGGTGAATGTCATTTCATTTATTGGATTATTATTTTCACTAATGTTAGACAAAGTCGCGTCCTCTGAATTGAAATCTATGCTGGAAGGTGTAGGAATGCTTTCTATAATATCGTTTGTACTTGTAGTTGGAGGTGTATGTTCAATAACTTGATCATGATCCACACGTGATACTGGAGAAGATTGTTGATCATCATCTTTAAATATTTTTTTAACTAGAAATGGTGATAAATCATCTTCTAGACTCAATAATGGCGATGGCAATGGAGAAACGAATTTATTTGAGGATTTTTTGTTTAACAATGCAGGATTGCCGATTGATGCCTCAGGAAGTACTGTCACTGAAAATAAACAGTTGATGAGAGAAATGATTAACTGTACAAAGAGGTATTAGTCTTTAATTTTTTCAAGAATATTATAGTTGCAAATCGCGTTTTAACTTGAATAATGTAAAAATGATAAGAAATGATAGTCAATAAAATGCCCGATTTTTTCTGTTTAGTCTAAATAGTTTCCTATACAGTTTTCGTCTATAAAAGCAGTGCACTTTTTTCTTTGACAGTCGTAATTTCAGTTTGATTAAAAAATAAAATATCCCAGTTAACGCCAAGTTCTTTGAGACTATTTCAACAAAAAAACTTTACCAACCCGTTTCTTCTTTTGCCGCTTCTTCTTCGTTCACTGTTTCCTCTTGATGTTCATTATTTTGTTGGTTTTCCTCTCCGTTTACTCGTTTTTCTTCTTTTTGTTCTTCTTGCTCTTCTAGTTCACATTGTCTTTCTTTATTTCTTCGACATATTTCTGTAATATCATTGATCCATTTAGATTTTTGTTCAAGAAATTGCTTCACTCTAGCATCTTGTATTGGATCTGAATTTTGATTTAAAACATTTGACAGATGTCCAATACCGGACGTAATCCGTTTCAAATTTGTAAATGATAATAGACTATTTGTGGTACGATCGATATTATTCGTCTGAGACTGACTTGACACAACATTGCCATTCTCTTGTGTGGATACTATCGAATCTAATTCAAGTTTAATTAATGATTTATTATGTTTCATTGCTAAAGATAATGCCATTATACCACTAGCTTGAATATTATTTCCTCTCAAATCAATATGTTGTATTATAGATGATTCAGCCACATATTCCGCTAATGAAATGGCTGCTTGACATGTTAATTTACAATTTCTTAATATTAATTCACTAATGCACCTATTTGCTAATAAAGAATCTCTCAATAGAAATAAACCTTCGTTTGTCAAATTATTATTGCTTAAATTCAATGAATTTATTGTACGATTATGTAATAATGCTTTAGCCAAATATCCGATGCCTTGCTGACTGATTTGATTCGATTGCAAATTTAGTTTTCGCAATATATTACGTTGTGTATGATGTTCATCGTATTGACTCAACTGTGATGCGATATGCGATAGTCCATTGTCTTGTAGATAATTTGTTTTTAAATCTAATAAATTTAAAAAATGACCACATGTTCGAATTACGTCGCATAGAATTAAACTATCTTGAACTTGCAAACCTAAACGAGACAAATAACATATTAATTTACAATCAAGAAAAGCGTAACAACTACTTACGGTTATCACCTAGATATAACTCTCTTAAACCGTTGCACACACGTATATGTTGAATTAAATTTTGTAATATTTTTCCGTTTAATTGACAAGATTCCAAATGCAACTCGATTAAAGTCGATGAAAAACGTAAACATCGCCCAAATGTGAGAATAGTATTGTCATCAAATTTCATATGATTCATATCTAAGCGTTCTAAAATATAACTTTTTCTCATATAACGTCCAAGTGCTTGATAACTCTGTGAATTCATTGAACGATTACCGGATAAATTTAAATGAATACATGATTCATAGTATTCAATGATATCGAATAACGATGCAATTAATGTATCTTCGTATAATGAAGATTCAAATTCTAATGTATGAAATTGAACACGAGAAAATATCTCTTCAAATGCATCCAAGTGTGCTATAAAAAATAATAAACAAAATCGAGATGAAAAGTTCAACAAGTAATCTGTTTATCTACTTACAGACACCAAATTTTTCATTGATAATCGATAAACGTTCTATGCGATCGTAAAATGTCTGACGCTCATCCTTAATTCGTGATAATTGATCAATGATTGTTTGTAATGGTTTTATTTGCGATTTCAAACAAGTATCCAAATAGATGCGTAAGACGGTTTTTAATGGTACAAATGGCTGATTTGAGAGCGGTACGGGAGCTGCCGAAACTTTAGTTAATTGTACATCATCTGTTGGAAAGTGAACGTGTTTTTGTGAATGAGTCGATGTGGATGGTTTTACTGGTTGAGTGATTTCATTTTCGACCGTTGTTGTTGATCCAGCTGATACTAGTGGTGAAAATGAAGCCGTTTTAGAACCATTTGTTAGGAAATACAAGGGAGTTGGTGATGTTTCAACGGATGAACTACTATCTTTTGCTGTTGTTTCCTCCTCTAATGTATTCAAAGATGGTTCCTGCTCTGAAATATTATCGGACACTTCTGTCGACATTGAAAGTTAGATGGCTAAATACACATAAAGTTTAAACCGACTGGCCCATAAATTACTAGTCTAAATTAAGAAAGTAGAAAATATCTATTGTATCAAAGAAAACAAATGTAGTAGTACGTTAAGCATAAATACAGCTATCTAGACATTTCTTCGTACTCTTATGCTTTATTTGTGGCCTATAAATGATAGACTGTTTTTACAAAAATAATCAAATACTTACAAAGAAGAAAAAAAGATAGACACAAATTGTCTAATGAAACATTCGGCATTGGCTAGGTGACAATAATCACGTGAAAAAATTTAATCTAAAAATAAACAAGAATCTTTACTATTCTTTTAATAAATCCGTCTGAAGATGGAGGGGGCTATTTTTTCAAGAGAGACAAACATTAAGCATTTTCTGTTCTATAAACTCAAGTAACTGTTTAGAATAACCAGACAAGCTAAATTCATGACTAGTGCACTGTTATTATTATTATGTAATCGATGTACAACTTCAAACGACGACGACATGCAACTCCGACAAAAGAACGAATTGAACAATGAATATATCATAACAATGGGTTCGAATATCAATGTGCAAATATTAAAAGCATGCATAAAACATATTGGCAGAAACGCCGTATTTGTTTTTCATTCTTAATCAATAATACATACAGAGAAATTCCATTTACAGGAATATATTTTTAATTCAACCAAGAAATTACATAAATTTACAATAACACAAAACAATAACAAATTTTTGTAACTTTTTTTGAAACATATTCGGTGTTTAATAATCATTCTGTCCATCGATGCAGCTAAAATAATTAAAAAATAAAGATAGATTGTCTAAACTCGTTTATGATCATCTTTTCATAGATTCTCCTCTGTCGACTTTTTACTTGAAAAATTAATGAATTACCAAATCTTACGGAAGTAAAAAGCTTCTTTACCTTGCTTATAAATCATTTTCTGCGATTGATACCAGAGATCATCGCATGACAACTTTTTTCGCCCTGCCCTGTCTTGCCCTACCCTGTCAGAAAATTACTCATAAATTTTTTTTTGCCTTACTCTGCCCTGTCTGGCTGGGTAGGACGCCCTGCAGTGCAAAAGAAAGTTTTTCTCTTTAACCTAGAAGACTTTATCTTCAAGGAACTCATTACAGATACTGGACGTGTTTTTCGTGCGTAACAGAATCTCTTTTTTTTTAATTATCAATTTTAGAAAAGTTGGCTATCATTTTTATTTTCACATATATGAGAGATCTCAAAATTTTACCTAAAAAGAAGCTTGAAAATCTCAAAAATCAATCTCTCGCAGGGCAAATCAAGGAATTTTTTGTTGTCCTGCTCTGTAACAGGGCAGGACAAAAAATATAAATCGCCGTGCCTGGCAGGACAACAGGGCAGCCCTGTCCTGCGATGATCTCTGATTGATACGTCCTTCAGTACTATAGAACCTATCTCATTCAAATAAGTTTTATATCTTTCTAAACCACTTACACATCGTTGATTTCTACACACATAATACAATGTCATACGATCCTTAATGAAAAAGAGAACCGATCATTATAACAACAAACTAAGAGTGTCTGACTTATATTCTATTACAAACCTCCCCTCGAGCTGATTGCGCTTGAAAAAATACTGCATCAAACATTTTACATTTTGGACTAAATTACAACAAAAAATTAGCAGAGAAACAACCAATTGGACGAACCCTTACCAAGCATGATTTGTCGTACGTGGCAACGTCGGATCAGAAATAACGTCAGTCACAATTTGCGTTAATTCACTACAAAATCAAAAAAAACAAGTTAAAAGTACTCTTACATAAGATCCCATTGACAAAAAGTAAAGTTAGCAATTCGCTATTCTTCCCTAGAGAAAATGTATTACAAACATATTTTCAAAAAAAATGATGCTCGGTTGTCAAATCAATAACTTACTCTATTTCATGAGTAATTTTGTTTACATAAATACAAGGATTATCAGCAGCTTGTTGGTGCTATTAAAAGAATAAAAATAAATATAATAAAGTTTAATTGCAAACAGAACGTTTCTCTAACCTGACAACGTCGACATGCATAAAGAAGAATTCGATTTTCTTTGTCTTCTCGAGGATATAACATATTGTTACTTAAAAAAACTGCTTATATAAAAAAAATCAACTAACCAAGTTCAATGATCAAAGAGTTTATAGCTTCACTTCTCGTGAGTTAACACCGTAAATTAAAGACCAAAATTCACCATTAGACTTTTGTGTGTTCATTCTTGCTAATGGTGATAAGGTCAAAGCCATCCACACTAAGTTTCTATTAAAGAACTGCGTTTGACACATTCGCACCCAACCTTACCATTCTTGACAAAATTTTATGCCAACATATCCGGGACCGGTTGCTTCTCTTGCTGTTTCCATTTTATCTGAAAAAGTGATGCTACAACCTATAAATTCATTAGCTACACTAGAAACACAAAATGCATTTATTCAAGTAGTCAAAATAGTAATGTAAAACATGATCTCATCCGAAAATAACACTGTCGAGCATAAAAATTCGTGAATGGCACAACTGAAACCATTGGTTCTCTACAGGATCCGTTCTTTGTTTATATACATTTTTGTTTACGTACTTAAAAACATTTTTTTACAAAGAAATATAAGTCCTAACTGATTGTATTGTGTCAGAAAAACCATTTCTATGTAATATAAGTATACCATCAAACTATTATTCTGACAGTAGCATTTATGATTCAGAGTGATTTCTCTATTCCTTTGATTTCCCACTAAACAGTTAGAAATTAGTATCTAATTCCCTCATAATGACATTTAAGCAAATTATACTCTTCTAGGGTTTAGTCAGATTTCATAGGTTAGTGTTCGTTTTGATTCAACAGCTGAAAATAGCATACTGGAGCGATGATTCAGACGCGCGGACGCTATTGGTGGAAAAGATCAGGAGAATATTGAAACAAAAAAAGATGATTATCTGTCACTCTGTAAAAATGTAACATTTTGGATCTTGTTTAGATTTCCATTCAGACGTATGAAGGAACCGCATGAAGAATCTGGTGCAGTATTTTAAATGGCAGAAAAATAAGCCAGTCAACTAGGTAAAGAAAATGGGCCTATCTTATTTTCTGTAATCCATTTGTTTCGTCTGACTCTTAAAGTAAAAAAAGTAAAACATCTACAGAACCTCAATAAAAGTACCACATCCTTTTCCAAGGGTCGCGTAATTTTGTTCCGTGGAAACACACGCTTAGCAGATGACGTTCTACAAAAAGATGATTCTCAGAGGAGATTTGTAGCCCATCAAAAAATTTGACCGACGTATGCCTAATGCATGTGCCTCAATGAAGATTTACTCGATCATCTGATATTTCTGGTTACTGCGCTGCTTTCACCATACTGTTCACTTATTTTTTGTAGAAAAAATACAAAATTGATTGATTATGACAGTTGATACGGCGGTTCCAGACAGTAAAAAAAACTTATCCATAGTTGTACGAAACTTCTCGACCTCAACTTACCTTTTCTTCACTAAATAAGTTTTTTTTTCAAAGACCAAACGAGATCGCCGTGATGTTATCCGACAAGTTCGAGAAATTACCGGGCTTGATGATAATTCTATTAATCAAACAATAGAAGCATGTAAAGATCCTGGTACGTATAATCCATTTTACCATCAGTACGGAGTTTATCTCATCAAATTTTCTTTCTTAGATACAGGCAGATATTCACTTGAACAAGTTATCAGTTTACTTTTCGATGATAATAGTGTAAGTTTACCGATATTATGCTACATCAAAAACTTATTTTACGTTTTCCTACTAGTTACGAAATAATCTTCAGCGATCACATAGCAACAATGTACCAGCACTACAAAATAGTGCCAATGCCGTGTCAAATGACAGAAGTATGCTTTTTATTTGATTAAGTCCTATCTCCTACATAATACCGTAATATTTCTAGGTTTATCGCCTAGTCTAAAACAACGTTTGTCTGATTCTATTACTGATGATGTTATTGAATTATCACCTGCTGATGGCGCACAGCCAGATGATGAACTTGAGAGGTAAATATTCAGAGATCACTTGTAGTTACTGGAAAAATATGATTGTTCTACTGCTTGTAGAGCATTACAATTATCTCGTGAAACAATGGAGCAGATTATTGATGAATCGGATGTTACAGAAAGAACAAAAGATGAACCAGCTGGCTTAAAAAATGTGGGCAATACATGCTGGTTTAATTCAGTTGTACAGGTAAAACAGAAACAAAAAGTTGTATTTTTCTTCTGAATTAACCGGTGATCTGTTTTCTCTTTCAGACATTATACACTTTACCATATTTTCGACGATTAATACTCAGTTTTCAATGGCAAAGTCGATTATTCACTGATGATGTAAGTGATGTGTTTATTCAAACAGGCAGAGAAACTATGTTATCTATAGAGTCTTTCTTCATTCAGTTGTAGACTCCATTTACAAAATTTTCTTACATAATACTCTTTTTTCTTTATTGTTTGAGGAGCTACAAGCCGTTGGATTTACAGAAGAATTAAGAAATTTATTTACATTGATGCTTAAATCTCCAAGACGTTCAATCAATCCTGATCGTGCAATAAAAAAATTTAAAGGAACAAGAAAACTATGTCGTGTCGACTTTTCTCATGAGGTACGAAGAAATATAATAATATTGCAGTCTCAATTAATTGTAGTTCATTCAAAGTACACTAGATCTATTTGTTGTTGCTCTTCTGCTTTCGTTAGACTATTTCTTCCTAACACACGTCGATATATGTGAATTAACTCATAAACATACGTTGGTGGTGTAAAATATAAATAATCGTTCATCACTGACTCTGAAATATACGGAAGTTTAAAGTTTGTTGGCACACGGATTTTTCTGTAGCGATAAAACTGAAAATGAAACGACGATAAAACGTTAAAATAGAATGAGAAGAGCAGCAATTTGTTATTCACTCCTTTTCTGATGTCTTCTCTTTCGATTCATTCGACTTTGAAATGGTACACGGACATTTTTTTGCCATTGCCTGTCTACGAATGATAAAATGTTGGGCATATAGATTAATAATCAAATAAACGATCTAACAGTTAGTATTACAAGATGCAATGTAGTCAGTAATCTCCAGTGTATTATACTGCACACAAACTGTACATTACTCTTTTTCTGATTCTGGATTTGTGTTCTCTGTCTTGATATTATCCTCAACATCTTTGCTGTTTGACGTATAATATAATAGTCTTATATTCAACGGACGTATAGACGTTCAAACGACATTGTACTGGTTTTAATCTAGTTAATGACACATCATAGATTCGATAGTAACAATAGGCCACATACGGGTTATTCAAAATCACATAATTAAATTTGTTTGAAATTTGAACATCTTTTTCGAAGATTTTTGATGTTTTCAGTTCAATGTTTTCTATTTGATTATTGAAGGTGAATTTTAACATTAATGATGAATGTCTCAGAACCATTTTGAAAGAATCACCGAATTTCATAGCCAACGTACATTTTGATGATTCTAAACACGAGCAATTTTTATAGCCAATTTCAAATGGAATAAGGAAAAGTTGAGATGTTGTTTGATGCGAATGACAAGCAAAACATTTATCGACACGTTTATAAACTGGCATCACCGTTTTTCACATCTGATACGGAATATTCTCTGGAAATATTCAGAATTTTATTATCGTTTGACGTGTGTGAATCTATTAAAATATACACCATATGTGCATAACATAATTGGAGTAATGATATAAGACAAAAAATGTACAACATGTTTAATGAAAACAGAATTGGTAACGAAAAACATATGCGCCTTCAATCAGTACAATCTATTTTCAAATCTTAAGCAGTGGGACAAAAAGTCTATCTTACGTAGTTAAACATTTTATCTGTATTACCTGAACAATAAAACATTCAGTATAATCTACGAACTGATGATTCTCAGGAATGCTTTGTACTGCAATATCATATGTAAGATCGCGTCGTCGTACGATGCAGTTCATATTTAAGTAATCTTTTAATTTACCGACTAAAACATTTATCTACTTCTAGCGATTAACTAGAATTTGCGTAAATCTGATTTTCTATTCTTTGTTAAGGATTGTTCTGAGTTTGCAACATTATTGATTGACCTTATCGAACTAGCATTTGAAGCAACTGGTAAAAGGTTAGTAAAGATATATTGAACATTTTCTTTTAACTTAACATATTGATTTTTATTAATAGCCAATTGACAATCGATAATAGTAATCAAGAATATATAAATCCAATGAATGTACTCGTTACTGGTGAAGTTATTGTTGAGCGAACGGAACCGAAAAATGATAGTAAATACGAGAAAATATTAAATATATCCTTTGTACATGAAAATAATTAAATTTATACATTTTTCATAGTTAACGAACGAACAGAAGCACTTCGGCAAATTAACATTCAAATGATTGATTCAGGAAATTTATATGATGGTCTGGAAACCTTATGGCTCGGCTCAGCAGATGAAACATTAATTCGTTTTACTCAAGATGCACAAGTATGTTTTTTATCCAAGAAAAATAATCTATTGTCTACTATTTATTTTCTTGTTTAAAAGGCGATTAATGAACAGCGTTGGTTAACACGCGTACCACCAATCTTATTTATTTGTTTAAATCGCTATCGTTTTTCTCAGACAACAAAACAAGCATCAAAAATTATAGGCCCATTTGAATTTTATCCAAAATTGTACATTGATAGGTAAATATTTTCATTTACTGATCATATCAGTTAGTCAAATGAATATTATATTTTTATTATTAGATATTTACAAATCAATAAAGATTTGATATTAGCCAAACGAAATGCAGCAAAATTTCTTTATGCACAATTAAGAGAGCTTCAAAATACTCTAAATAAGTAAGGTTATGTTTTCATGTATCTTATGATGATTAGATGCGGCAGCCGAATGATTGATTTTTTCTTAGTGGAAGAATAGTACAGTAGAAATTTGAACAGTAGAAACAGCAGCAATCTCAAAAGTGTTTCACTTTTGATAGTGAAATTTAATTTTTTTTTCTGATTAAAATTGATATTTCAAGGTATGTTCCTATGTCAGAAATGTAAAGATTTTTTTCATCAATAGCGATTAAGAAGTTCCTAAATTTTAACGATAACAATACAGACAACTTATCGGCTGCCATGCCTATTTACCATGTTCCATCAACTTTCTTTTATTTTAAAGTTATATAAAATATCCATGCAATGATGAAGCGTTTTCGCTGGCGAATGCGATACGAATAGTTTATGAATTTGCAACTGGATGCCGTTTAAATCCATTGCCACCAAAAAAGTAATAAATTCAGAAAATAATCTTTTTTTTATTGATTATTTTCACTTTTTAGAACTGATTCGTTGGTATTGGATCCTACCGTGCCACACTCATCTTCATCTACATCATCCTCACTTCTTTCTCCGCCTCGATCAAGACAACAGACAAATACAATTCGTCCATCTCAAATTTCAAATGATGAATTGTTGTTTATACAGGTATTTATTCTTTTATATATCTTTTTATTTGAATTTATTTGCGTATGCATATAAATTTCAGAATACATTGCCAGCCTGGCTGACAGAAATCGAAGCAAAGTGTGCACGTAAGTATAGTTAAGTTGTTGAGAAAAAAAATGGACATCTTTCGTTGGTTTCAGATATTCGTGAAGATATTTGTCGAGTTCAAGCCGAATTAAAACAATTATACGATGATCCTCAACTAAAAAAAGTACGTCTATTTCATTTTCATAGTACAGCATCTTATAAATAATAGTATGATTCGACCATAGAAATGTTACAATTTACATGCAGTATGTGTTCACGAAGGAAGTGCAACACTCGGTCACTTTTGGACATATGTTTATCATCCCGATCGTGAAAAATGGTTTCGTTATAATGATAATGAAGGTAATTTTAAACTTGGTACTAATGAAAGATAATATGATTGCATTCATTCGATAATCTTTAGTAACACAAACAACATGGGATGAAGTGTACGAAGCTGGTTTGGGCGCGAAAGCAAGCAGTGATAAAGAAGAACGTGTTCCAAGTGCATATTTACTTGTTTATATAGACGCTGACGCGAAAAGATTGCATGAAGGTAATTATGCTTGTCTGTATAAAAATCCTACTTAAGAATAAGCATTTAGACTACCCGATCGAATTAAATCATGAACTTCAGCGTGTGCTTGAAGATGACATGCAATTATTACAACAACAATTAGAAACAATCAAATTAGAACGTTTATATTCGGATATGAAATCTGCTTGTGAGAAATCAGATAAACAACGGGGACAAGTACCATTTTTTTCAGAACCAAATTCTTCTAATGGTACGACTATTTTCTCATTTGATGAATGAAGATAACTGTAATACTATTTTTCTATGTTATTAAAGAGAAAAATGAAATGTCATTTGATCCAGAAATTATTAAACCGGTGACAGATGTAACACTGAAATTGTTAAGAAATCATTCTGAAAAAATATTATCGTGTGGTATTCAACGGCTATTCAGTGAGGTATGTGGGAACAATAGATGTATCTGTTGAAAAGATAAATGTTTTCTTTTGTTGAATTTAGGCTGTTGATAAAGAAATAAAACGTAATACATATTCATCAAATCAAATAACATCAGATCTACCACAGACTGATCATCGTTTATCACATTTTATCACCTATCTATCAGCAAATCGTGTTGATAATATTTATAAACAACGTGCACTGATTGATATTATCCGTCTGATACAACTTTCAAACGACGATATTAGGTACATTTTTCATATCTAAAAATGTTATCGTATTTCTCTCTTTTCGGAGCTACAAGATATATTTTATGCGTTGTTACTGCTAATCGTTATTTATTTAGACTAAAGATATTGAAAATGCAAGCACAAGTTGTCTGTAATGAAATGAGAATGGCGAATGAACAACTTCAGGAATATCAGGTATAATACACTTATTATTATATACCCAACTTTATTTGTAATCTCGCTTGCATATGTTTTCTAAAGAGATTGTTAACAGATTACAAAGATTATCGCTCAGTTATTGCCGCGTTTCTTGCCGGTTGTCAGTTGATGAACGAAGACAAGTAGGTGCGCGCATATTTTTGTACAAGTTATGGACCAATATCTTTTATTGTAGATTTGAAGAGGCTATCACCTACTTTTGCGTTGCCTGTGAATATAATCTTCGTCTATCAAAAAATTGTACATTACCGATGAGAGCAATGGATAGTTGTCTTCTATTTAAAGTTCGACGATTATGTTTTGAAGTAAGATATACGTAAATTAATAAACAAACGATTTATCTTATTTTTTTGCTTTTTTAATATATTTTTAGCGATGGAATGCGGTGGTTATTGATCGTTTTAAAAACGATTTGGATTATAGACTTGATACAATGACACATCAATTTCTACCATGTTTAATGCAATTGAAATTGAGTTCGGATGATGATCAATCCTACATATCAGAAATTCAACGATTATGGTGTCTTTTGCTCGATAGAATTGAACGTGAGCTGAATTTTTGTGAAAAAATCTTGAGAAAATCGTTTCTATGAATGCTTCTTTTTTTCTTTAACAGCACAACGTTTAACGTTATTAGAAGAATTTCTTCAACGTCTCCTAGAACAACCAATTGGACAACATTATCACTCTGTATCGATTAACAAGAACAACTTATTCGAACGTTATGAAGAAGCTGTACATCATTTGTATGACAAATATCCAACGCATTTTGCAAAAGAGCCCACGATGATAGCAACTCCTCCTTCTCCTGTTACTACGCCGATGATTTCAGAATCAATACAACAGCAAACAAATGATTACCAACCTCAACAACAACCATCTCATCCTAATTTTTTAACGCAATCTTCACCATTTACTCATAGAACATATCTCAACCCGCTGTCAAATACCTCACGTTCATCATCGTCTCGTCCTACTCTATCACAACCTGTTGGAGTAGCTCCAACTTCTCGTCCAACTGGTTCAATACCAATTCCTGTTCAAATTCAACAACCGATAAATAACTCAACATCACCATCTTTTTCTCAACTACAGTTTGTTAATCGACTTCATCATCATCAACAACAGCCGTCGTGTGATACTAATAACACACCAACATCTTCATATCCACACAGATTGTTGCCATCAACAAGACCAGTAACTGGTACTGTATCGGGTTTCGCAGGATTTGATCGTTCATCGAATGATAATTCAAGAAATGATAATACTGCATTAACAAAAAGTGGTTCTATATCGCCTATGCAACAAGATTATACAAACGATCAAGAACAAGAACAACAAACAACCGGAACTCGAGATATCTTGAACAGACAACAACAGTTTATCGACTCTTCTCATCATAGACGTTTAAATCTTTCACCACCGTCTCCACCACCACAACCTTAATTTTTCTTCTTCCTCCCGGTGTATTACCCAAAATGAGGATTCAAGAGGCACAGTTTCTCACATTAGTCAGAATTTTGGTATAGAATATCAGCGCAGGATGAATCATTTAAAAAATTGGTGCTAGGTCATTGAATAGTCATTTTTTTTTGTTCCAGTCGAAGCAAATTACCTCATTTTATTTACGTATTTTTTTATCTCTAAACAAGCTTATTGTGTTTCGATTTTTGCGTATTTTTTTCACTACGCTTTCTTAAATACGATGTTTATGTTCTTAAAGCTAGTTTTATTTTACATCAGTAAGAAAACTGATCGAGATCTTCCTTTTGCACTACTATTCAATCTGAGTATTTTTGTTGTAGCTGTTGGTTTTTTTGTCAAATCTCTATTCTTTTACCTTGTTTTTTAGCTGCTCGCGATTTGTCCCGGTATCTTTCTCACACATTATGTTTTTTAATATATATAGAGAGAACGTTGAAAGTAATAAATTGAAATGTTAAATAGAACTAAAAAAGTAAAGTTGTCTCTATTCTACATAAATATTTCTCTTATTGTTCGTTTTTTTTTAATATTCGCACATAGGTGACGTGTACAAATTTAAATATGAGTGCTGAGACCTTGTAATTTGTCAAGTCGTTATGTGTGTGTGTTTTGCATCTCATTTGTTTGTCTTTTCTGCGCAGTTATCTATAATTAATTTTATAAAATATACTTTCTTTTTTGTTTGTTTGTTCATATCATCAGTGATGTGATAATGTTCATAGACGATAACATTTTCTCATTAATACAGCATTTGAACATTCTAGTGTAAAAGCAACTATAAAATGATACAGAATAAATAATAAGACAGCATTTTGATTTAGCTGTATTCTCATTAACCTTCTATCTTATTTTCGGAACATGGACTGAGGATTGTTGAATAAAAAAATTATTGAACCATTGTTGTAAATGGTGTCTGTGCTTGAACAATAGAGAAAAACGTTCTGGAGGTTTTTTACCGAGTTATGCTGCTGATGCTTTTTAGTAACCTATGGTTAAAGTACAAGAAATAGACCTGACTCTGTTTGTTTTCGTTGTTTTTCAATAAAATTTGTACATTTAATTTTTGATGCTGAACATGTTGGATATGTTATCAGTTTTGTCTGACGAAAAATTTATGGTAAGTTTCTGGGAAATCAGACTATTTAATGCCTTAACATTGTATTCCTATAGTCCATTTCTTACTGAATTTGTAAAAATGTTCTTTTACGACTTGACGTTTTTCACAGATCTTCTTTCAACCAAAAAAATTTATTGCTAGTGGAAGAAACGTTCGTTTTCCTCTATCTAAAACTTTAGAAAACAAATATCAAAATAATGTTCAAAAGTGGGACATGGGTGGTGAGTATAGTAGCAGATACCCACTGCTAACGAAATTCCTTAGGAATGAATTTTAAAAACCTAGACGGTATAAAAGCTGCAAAAATGAAAAATAATTATAGTCCTTGGTGATTGCCAGGCCAGTTTCACATCGCAAAAGTGCTGAATCATTTGTTTTTTCTCCTACTTCTGGGTAATACGCATGACCGCAGACGTCTACTGACGAACCACATGGTAAACAAATACCAAAAAAATAATGTAAAAGACACTGTTTTAGATGGATCATGCACAAATTTTTTGCCAATTGTATTACATATGACTGTATGTGAAAATCTATCGAATGGGCTCGGCATATATTCGGTTTAGCTTAGTTGCTTTATGAGATAAAGCCACATGACGGGGGATAAATTGTCTTTTTGACTCTCACTGCATTTGCAAACATATTCTCAAACGGGAGCGTGTTGTATCGTTTGACACTGGCAACAGACCATCATCCCCTAAATCAATACAAAATTCTTCTGCATCTTTAGTTTTTATATTCCAAAGTCTAGTTCACTCTTTGACAACTCAACTTGTCGGATGACTGCACCTATTTATTCCTGATACACATGATGATCGACAATGCTGTCAATCATTATGGTGTATTAGTTTATAAATTGTTGGCGATTCTAAAGAATAAATCATATAGCGCGGATTAAGAATACAATTATTCTTTTGTTTTAAAGAAAAAACAGCTAAATTCAGAATTCTCTTCAGCAGCATTGCACAGTGAAAAACTACATATCTATCAGGTTAAATTTTTACGTTTTAAAAACATTAGTTTTTATGTCAATTTCTATGATTTTCAATATTTTATATTTAGGGTCTTTTACTAGTAGAAAAAAATGTTCTCAGTTTATTCCTTTAGAGCTGTCATTCACATCAACAGTCGAGACGAAATAGTTGTTAATTCGTAATTCATTTTACTTTTAACTAAACTAAAACAAAATTGGCTATGGTCGACGAACAAGGCTAATTCATATAAATTTCTCGCTAAATTATGGTCGAGGCTTTTTTCCCACCAAATGTACGTATTCTCATTGGATAAAATCAAACAAATAAAATTTTGAGAAAGTAGCCTTCTATATAGAGTTTTCTCTACAATAGTTTTTAACCAGTTTTGTTTTACTTTAGCTAAAAGTAAGATGAACTGCGAATTCAAAACTATTTCGCCTCGGCTGAAATTTAAAAACACGGTGAAAACCATGCGAAAACATGAAAGCCGTAATTGATATTTTTGACTCTTAATATAGATAAACGAGGATAAAAACGAAGTGGGTCAAAAAAACCTATGTGGCCATTTTGTAGGGCTTGATGAGCTATACAAATGAGATTAAAATGAAAAGGTTTGAATGAAGATTCTTTGAGCTAGGGAGACCAAAAATTGACTATATCCAAAATGCGGTCTTCAAAGATGGACGTCGTACTCAAAGAGAATGGTAGGGCTTGAGTGAATTCTTTTTTTATTAGATTAGGCAGCTCTTCAGCTTCATTTTTATCTGTAATAAAAGGAGTTTTCGTTTTGTGTTGCGTTCAGACGACGTAAAATACTGAATACCGTTTTCGCATTTTCAGCCATTTTGTGACCGGTTTCATGACCCTGCAAGAGTAGTAGAACAAGTTTTTAATCTCAGTGCTTATACTACTCGAGCTGTTCTTTCGTGTGGTATGTTCCACGGCGATGGAAGCTCTGTCGCTGCAGCGAAAAACAAGGTCAAAGTTGCATTATCGGAAGGAAAGTCGAAACTTGACATCCCTAAAGGGGCATGTAGAATATGACTGTTACTAGGAAGAATTTGGGGCTTCGTGTAATTTACTATGTCTTACATGGGCAAAAAAGCCGCAAAAATGTCGATACTCCTCCCTACATGGGAGGAGTATCGGCATTTTTGCGGCTTTTATATCATGTAATAGTTGGCAGATCTGAATGGAAACACCCAAAGAATGTTAGACGTAAGGTTAAACACGACATACGGAACTTTTAAAAAAATAAAGTATATTTCAACTCTGGTTTGGAAACTTGGGTTCTCTGAAGATCTCCTAGTGATCCTCAACTTTCTTGTTTGACGACCCATATATCACTGACGGATCCAAGGGGTACGCCGGGTGCGATCTTACCCCCTTTCCAAAACCTTTTTCCAGTTAAAAACTCTTTCACACTCTCGTTTTAAAATTAGTTTTTGCAGAGAGTCGTCCCCTCCCCTCCCTCCACATATTTCTGGATCCACAACTTCACTCAGCTTTTCTCGCACAAAGTAAGTCATAAATTCGTAAGGTCAAGTTTTCTGGAAGCCCTCAGCCTCTTAGAGCTAGTGTCCATAGTTGCTTAATGGTTTATTATTTACTTTCGTATATTCTCCTTCGTGAATAATCAACTCTAGCAGTTTTCACGAACTAAACGTTTTCTCCTTCAACGTAAATCACAGAGTAACTAGCGCATTCTGCTACATCTAGCATTTCTTATTTATTTTTGGTAGCTAAATACATTTAGGATGATTTCTGATGCTGTCTTAGGCGTCTTCTACATATCTTGAGAATTAATAAAACTAGTGTTTATTTTGGTCAAGGTTTTCTGCAACTCTAGAACTAGTCAGTATCGTTAACGTGAAATTAATAGAAAGTAGCGCTTGCTTGTTGCAGAATATCTCCGCCGTTTATTTCTCCTTTCTTATAATTGGTTGGTCAATGAACTATCTGATGGCCATTTTCAGTCAGGATAAGCTGCGATAGAGTCGTCTAAATTGGAAAATTCCTATTGCGATTCGCTGATCATTGTATCTGGAATCGGCACATTTTCTGTTTAATGGCCATTACCACCGCTAGAGAAAAACGGTCTCTTCTATTAAAAAACAACAGTGATAAAAGCTGATTATTGCATAAACAAAGAAACCGAACAGCTAGGTTATGAGTTTCTCTTTTTAACCAAAAAGAAGAATCTCGTATTATAATCATTCGATCACACTCATTTAACTTTTATTTCAGAAAGAAAAAATATTTTGCATTATGATTGGTCAATCTGCGAAACGTTAATCTAACATTGAAGCTTTGCGTAGACCAGTTTGATCTATTTTTTAATGTTTTGTGGACACAAACACGCATACAACTGTTTTGTGAGATCTTTGGCTAAAGTCAGGGAAATTCCAGCAGGTTTAGTTAGAAGTGTATTGAAATTCTTTACTGTTTAGTTTAGTTTAGTTTAAACTTTACTGAGAATAAGGAAAATACAAGCATAGTGCTTCTGGTAGATTGGAATCGACGAGCACCTAATCTCTCAGAATGAGCTACGATATATAATACAATAGTTATCGTATGGAAATTCATTATTTAAAAGTAAAATAGTTTTCAGAGAGAAATTCACGCTAGGTATCAGATCGCCAATAGTCCTGGATAAATTAGCACGCTGATAGAGGGAACAATTTAGTAAAAAGTGCGTTTTTTCTTTACTCTTTTCTCCTCGTGTTTTCTTTATATACTCTTCTAATGATCTGTTGTCGTTCTCCGTTACTCGTTTACGGTTTTTTTGTTTTTCTAAATAGCTGTGATGCTCTAATATGGTATGCAATGTTAATTACGACACATATACATATGTATATTTCATTTCGAATTAATAACTTTTACATTGTAAATTTGTACATACTCTTTTGTCACTGCTATCATTTTATCTCCAAATCGTCTGAGAAAGATGATCTATAAAATGATATAAGTTTGTGGCGTAAAAATGGAACGTTTACAACGTGTTAATGGATCAGACTATTAGCGATACTTCTTGATCACTTTGGTCATGAAAACCTAAACATAATTTGGTGACAATCTGTACTAGGACGAGAAGAATATTCTTTTATTTTGAGACAATTTTTATTCAGAGGGAACATCCAGGAGTTATTTACTTTAGAATGTAATTTTCGTTTAGCTTCTTAGTATAAACTGCATTTTTAGAATTTCGAAGATGAGAAAACTTTTCTCCCCTACATTCTTAATATATTATGGTGAAAACTTATACCAATACTATTCTAATATGATGATTTAAACTCATTTTCGTTGCCAATCAGCATTTATGATAAATCTCGAACGAAAACGATGGGTATCCCTATACTCGCCACATGTGTAAAGAAAAAGGAAAGATATGCTAAGTTAAGGATCGGCGGCAATTTCCTACACTATTTGTATTATATGATTGATCTTGTTCAGTTGTAATAGTTTTAAAAAATTTATTTATTTTCGAATGCATTCATAAAAATAGTTTTTGACATTCACTAGTCGCATATTGATTTTTTTCATCTTCGACTTTTCTCTCGAATTTGAGAAAGTAAAAAATTCAATTTTTATATTTGTTTTCAGATTTCTTTAAAATGAACAATCACGAAGACCATTATGCATCCTATTTGCCGTATACACCAAAGGTCTGTGACTTCTAAACTTACTTTTAAACACTTATAACTCACAATTGTTTAGTGCATGATGTGTCTCACTTCTATCTCACTAATATTGCTTCCATTGTACTACAATGAGATTGTATACAATGTGTTCAAACTAAGTTTATTTTATAGGTAAATAGTACCTCTATTTTTGTTTCAACTTCTTACTAAAAAAACAGAGTTGACCTGTCGAACAATGAGAAACTTGATATTCTCTTCTATGTTTCGCACTTGTTAAAATTATCATATTTATTCAAGGTCTAATTTTCAACTAATACAAACGTAGTGTAAAATATGCAAGGAGTATGCGATGATAATAAAAAGCGACTTTTGCAAAACAAATTCTTTCTTTGTTTGCTTCTGCATGTTTTGCTTGTTTTTTTGCATTGCTAAAAATATCTCTTATATTTGTTTACATTATATGTTTTTGTCAATTATTTTAGACCGACTCAACATGTTCAAAAAAGATAATCTCTTCTATGTCTAGCAGTGCGCCGAAAACATACGGTGATCGTCCAGTGCCTTTTCAATTTGAAGATGATGGTGAAAAATACTTTATTGGATCTGAAGTAATTCTAACTATTTTTGTTTTGTTTTGTCATATTACATTTAAAGTAATCTAATACGATCATTCTTTGTTAGAAAATTGTGCATATTTAAATCTCAACAATATTTTTTTAGAATATTGATAAAGATGAGTATTAAATTGCCTAATACTGAAAAATTTGCTTAGATCATTGAAAGCTCAACTTTTTCATTTTTAAGAAAGTTTTGTGAAGTTACTTTTAGAATGTTTGACATCGATATACGCACCAATAACGATAAAGAAAGAGTGATAGATATTTTTTGTTTCCTGCTGAAGGTAGCAGTTATTTTACCTTTGTGATTAAAAGGCAATACTACGTCCAAACGTCTCTTGCTTTTCTTTTCTATTAACAAATGTGTATCAAATAGTAAATGTTAACAAATTATTTCTTTTTTCCTTTTTTAGGTCGGAAATTATTTGCGATTGTTTCGTGGCACATTGTACAAAAAATATCCATCATTATGGCGTCGAGTGATTTCACTTGAAGAAAGAAAATGGCTTATTGACTTAGGTATTATTTTAACTTGTTTAATTTGATAAAATTATAGTTATTAGTCATTTAGGTTGTTCTGAATCATCGTTACCCACCAATTTAACATTATTGCGTGCAAACGAAGTTGATGAAATTTTAAAAGGAGATGATGAAAAATATCGTGCGCTAACAATGACATCTGAGCCAGCAACAACCCGAGCGTATGCTTTTTATCTGCAAATGATTTCATACCAAATGTAGCATTATTTCTTTTTCAGGGACAAATTGAAGCGAGCCGCATGGGTATCAAGTTTTCCAACGAATTCTCATCATCTTGACGCTGTTCCCACAGCAACACCAATTAATCGAAATCGAATAGCAAATAAAAAGAAAACATTTCCTCTGTGGTTAGTTAACAAACCTTTGACGCTTGTTTGTATCGTAGTTACAAATTTTTATTCTAGTTTTGATTATACTGATACGTCATCAGCGTTAGAAAATGCTCAACAGTCCGAGGATCTTGTTCCAATTCGTCTCGATATGGAAGTCGAAGGACAAAAATTGCGTGACACATTCACTTGGAATAAAAATGGTATTATTATCATTGACTTTTCTATTTACATCAAATATATTTGTTTAATATGTTTATAGAGCAACTTATTACACCTGAAATGTTTGCAGAGATATTATGTGATGATCTTGATCTAAATCCAGTTCCATTTGTTCCAGCAATATCACAAGCTATCAGACAACAACTTGATACACATCCAATTGATTCACTGTTGGAAGACAACACTGATCAAAGAATAACAATAAAAGTTAGTTATATCTGCAACTAAAATATACTATAAACGAAATTAAACTTTTTCTTTAGTTAAATATACATGTGGGCAATGTGAGTTTAGTTGATCAATTTGAATGGGATATGTCAGATAAACATAATAGTCCAGAAGAATTTGCACGAATGCTTTCAGCCGAATTAGGCAAGAAATAACGAATAAAGTTACCGAAAATCAATTATGACTTTTTTTTTTCATTCTAGGTCTTGGAGGTGAATTTGTGACCGCAATTGCGTATAGTATACGTGGACAGTTAGCATGGCATCAGAAAACTTTAGCATATAGGTTAGATTATATTCTCACTATAAGATGCAAGAAACGGATCTACCTAAGCGTGAGGTAAAAGATAGCAAGAAGATACGAATTGTGGCTAAAGCAGCATGTGATAGTAAAAGAACTTTTCTGCTAAAAGAAGCACAAAACATTCGGTCCACCAATATTTTCAACTCTATGAAAAACAATCCAAAAGTCTAAAAGTTCTGATTGCATGCTGCATGAACTCACAAATATTCCAGTGCATTATTGAGCCGCATGGGTCAGAATCCATGTATAGTACAGATCAATGTGACATTATTTATTAATCTCGACAAAACTCAGCTTTTTTTTTCTTATAGTGAAACACCATTACCAACAGTTGATGTTGCTATGCGAACAAATCATGAAGCAGATCAATTTTGTCCATTTTTGGAAACTTTAACAGATGCTGAAATGGAAAAGAAAATCCGTGATCAAGATCGTAATACAAGGTATGATTTGCTTTCTTTTTTTAACTGCTTAAATTTTTATTTAAAACTAAACGTATAAACATCGTTTTAATTTTTCTTGTCAGACGTATCCGCCGTTTAGCCAATACTGGTTCATCATGGTAGAAAATTCTCAATATTATCATAGTTAATTTATGTATCATAGTCATGTTTTGTTTCTTTTTGTTTCGGAATTATTGCTGTTCATCTGTTCTTTAATGTTCTCAAAATATCTCATTTTTACAGATATCTTTATTATTAGTTTATTCGTTCTTTTTGAATATGTGCATATATGTATATTCATTCGTTTGTATTTCTCCATTTCATGGTCGGTATATTAGAACCGAGAAGAAAATTTTTTTGTTGTTTGCAAAAAGTAAAATATATCAGAGATGTATGTAGACTAAATCGAGAATAACCAGACTGTTTTTTGTCCAAATGAAAAATTAATTTAAGGCCCACCTTGTCAGAAATGATGATTCTTGGTCAAAAAATCGATTTTGAGATAATCACATAGAAAGATAGCCTGAAGTGTCTACTTTCAGAATCTGTATCGCTTTCGATCCTAGAAATGATTTTGCGTCGCTTTCGAACCAGTTTTCTAGAACACTCGAAAAACAGGATCCTCAAATAATAGTTTTTTCCTGGATAGTTATGCAATTAAATTTTTTTCTGAACGTATAGATTTATAGAGCAAACTTTTCTGATCAAAATAAGACCTTACACAACCCTGTATGATCTTGTGTCAAAAAAGTTACAAGCATTTTTCTATAAGTCCTAAAATGGACCAACCGATGCACAGCGTTTTTTCTCAGAACACATTTTTTTGTGCAGGTATACTCAGTGTACGGCACTTTTTCCAGTAATGGCTCATCGTAGAGAGACTTTCTTTTTTTTAATCGAAAGAGCAAAGAATTCTACGTGGGCTGGTGGGAGCTAATTTTCGAAAACCCGAACTCTAGCTTAAAGTATATTAAAAAATCTTGGGAAAAACTGCAGGATCCTTTCGAACCTTGATCTCTGAAAAACTCCTAAACAGTAAGACTAGGAGACATAACAAAATTTTCATTCCCATAACTCATTATGCCTAACATTCATGGAAAGTTTCATCAAAATCGGATGTACGGTGTCGGAGATAATTTCTGGGGGGGGTCTTACAAATTTCTCATAAAAACCAATCAAAACTAAAAAAGTTTTTGAACATCATAGTGAGACATGTATAATGAATACCATACAGCCTGCTTCATTTAAACAGTGTAAGTCGTTGAATATTTATTTTTTATATATTATTCCTAATGAGAGTTTTCGATAATTCATTTAACATGATTGCAGATTGATTTATCATGATGGCTCGTTCAATAACAATTAATCCCAATTTAGCGTTATTAATTATCGATATGCAAAAAACTTTTGAGTCGATGGCAAAGCCATTAATACCGGAAATTAATGCAACAATTGCTTCGGCGAGAAAAGCAAATATACCTGTCATATTTTCACAACATGGTCATGAAAACCCGGATGAGGAAGAGTCAACGTCTGTTTTAGTAAAATGGTGGGGCGCCAGTGGATCGATCAAACGTGGTTCAGCCGATTGGCAATTGTTACCAGGTTTAGATGTTGGGAAAAATGATCCTGTTTTAAGCGAGAAATCAACATATGATGCATTTCATAATACACGTTTAAAATCCCTACTGGATTCATGGAATGTTGATACACTTATAATTAGCGGTGTTCTGACAAATTTATGTTGTGAAACAACTGCTCGATCAGCATTTGTTCAAAACTATAATGTAATATTTCTATCAGACGGTACAGCTACTGCTAGTGATGCTATGCATCAAGGAACGTTAAAAACAATTGGATTCGGATTCGGTCAAGTGATGACTTGCGCTGATTTGCGTGAAAAACTCGCTAAAATAAAAGGCAAATGAAGTCTTTTTTATTAGTTTCCAATTGCTACCTTTATATAATAAATCAAATAACTAATAAAAAACTGTGTCTTCAAATACAAAAAAAACAACTTTTTTTCCAGAGATGCTCGTAAACCCGATAGCTGAATCGAACATTGGAGCTCGACTTTCAATGGGAGATCAGTTTTTCTCTCATGTACACTATATGAAGGTGTGTATCCATCTTCATGACTACATATATTTTTTGCATTTAGAGGTTCAAGCTTTTCTTGATACAAAAGATTGAAAAAACGTTCTGATACAACTGTAGTTTATCTTTTCAGCAAGTTATTGTCAAACAGCTATAGACTATTAATTAAAAAACGAGAATAGAAAATCAAAAATTATTCTATATCGAATAATAATTTATTCGAATAATTTAAAATCATCTCTAAATTTATTCTCACTTCTAGATCTGCCTTTTGCTCACACATTGAGAGTCGTTCTGAGACTCATAAAAAATTCACTGATGAATAGCAAAATCTCGAGGAACGCGTCACTAATCGTGACATATTAAAATATAATCCACTTGAAACATTAAAACGTTTGTTACCGTATAAACAAATCACTAATATAATGAATAACAGTGAAACAATAATTCTAACTGATGATACAGAAACCAAATAACTTTTTCTTCTTCTATAAACATGTTAAGAACAAAATATAGATTCAACAAAAAAAACAATAGAAGATAGACAGTATTTCATCTGTCTGACAGTACATAGGTTCAAAATTTTAAAATAAAATAAAACTACATATAACGAAACGCAAAAAATATTGTTCATTCATTAAATTGAAAACATTCATTAACAATCATCCACATCGATGTTGTTTTATCAACAGTGAGTGCAAATACGTGTGAAAACATGTGTTTCCTTTATTTGAGCCATTTTCATCTGTTTCATATGCAACAGTTCCATTAATAATGACTTGATATGCCGCATCTTCATTTGAAAATAAATCTAAAACTTGAGTATTTATCAGTTTTCTGTTTAAACATTAAAAAAGTATACGTGTAACATCAATTTTGCATTTCAGGTATGGTATAATAATATCAATGATAAAAGTTTTGACACAAATGGTTTGTTTTTTGAACAGAAACTAATCTTAACACATTCACTGCCACATATGCTGAAATATATGACGTGAATACGTCATTTGACGTATACGGCAGTGAATGTGTTAACACTACACGGTCTTTCCATAGAGTCAGTTACCTTTCATTGAAAAATAATTTAATGCATAAAATACAATGCATTATTGCTAGTAACGCTATTAACCACTCTTTGATTGCCTCTTGACCTGTATGTCCATTCGATATCAATTTTGTAGTCTGATGATATAACTTTTTAACAAAATAAATTTTACTAATATAATCAACTGATCCTGTCATACGTGTTGTTGTTGATTGAATGCATCATAATATCGTTTTGTAAAACTCACAACAGTTTCTGACTCTTCACGACACTTCTTTTGCTAGATAAAAGAAAATAATCAATTCTACGTTATTTTATTAAGTCAGAAAAAGTCCTGTTTATTCTATTGTCCTTGTCATATCAAAACACCATTACACTTTCTGTTTGATAAATAGATACTAGAAGAGACTGATAGTTCGAAGTCAAATAATAATTGTTCAAAACAATAGTTCTATGATCAAGTCTCATTCGAGCTTTTCTTTTTTGAGGATCCAAACTCGATAGTTCATAGTTTTGGAGTCCGATTAAATTAAGTTTACATCATGTTTTTTCTTTCTTTTTGCATTCCCTTTGAATTTATAAGTGGTCTCTATACTTGCAATTCTGTTGTAGTAATTTTTGAGAATTCGGACTCATTCAACGCTGAGTTCTATTTTATATTATAGAAAACATAAACAGCTAAATAAACAATACAAAACAGTCATTGTGCAACAAAAAAACAACGAATAACCAATTATCCTCCTTTCTCTTCAACTTACATAGACATTACTCAGTAGAAACGACTGATACATTAAAGAAGTTTATTAGAGAAGAAAAGCAATGTATTATATAAACGAAAAAATGTGTCAGAAAAATTACGCAAACACTTTTTCATTTTTATGCGGGAGAAAAAGATATCGTAATGAAACAACATAATTGATGTAAAAATACGTGCATCTAGTTTCAACACAAAACATTCAAGTGGAGAACTAGGACACAAAATTTATCAATTACACGTAAGTAAATTTTAAACAACGAACAAAAAGTGTATACTAAAAAGAATGAATTTAGAAAATAGACATTTGTTGTTTGTTTTGAAAACATAACACTTATTATTTAAATATTTTTCACACTTTTCCTCACGTAATAGTAATAAAAACCACAGTAAACAGTCTATCAAAGAATGATGTTACAGTTTATTATTTAATAAAATAACATGGAGATGGACTTTATAAATATTATTTTATTAACGATTGCTATCACGATCTCGCCTTCGATCTCTATCATCATTTCTATCACGTTGTCGACCTATAAAAAGCAAAGAAAGATTATAACTTAGCAAATAGTACACAAAAACTGAATGGAAATACCTTTAGAATTTGATCGATCTCGAGAATAACGATCATCACGTGAAGAATTTCGACGTGGACTACGTGATCGATCTCTTGACGAACGTCTTGGACTTCGAGAATCGCGTCCGTTGTCTCGACTTCTTGACCTACCACGTGGAGATCTTGAACTAAAAAAGCAGAAAATAAAACATAAAGCTTATTCTTTGTTTTATACCATGTAAAACTGTAAACTAGAAACTAAAAAACGCTGATAAAATAGGTGTTATTGTTGTTTCGCATCAAAGTATCTATCAGATTTATAATAAAGAAGCAAGAGTTTCTTTGTAGCAAAATAAATTTTTAGACAGTTTTTCTAAAGAATTTTCCGTTCAGAACTATGCTATTTTCCAAGATAAACGATGCCGATGATCTTACAACTATCAAATTTGTTTTGTATTTTCAAACAGGAACCAGACTGCGACAATTTTCTTATTCATACACACTGCTCTCTCTTTTAAGTTTATTTTTCGAAATAAGCTGGACACACAACGCCTTTTTTTTATTCAAACACCACCAGGGGATAAACTGGAGTATCAAATCTGGCAGCAGCAACAGCAAACAACAGGAACATGCACACGCTCTTAGAAATTTAACTGCTGTGTGTGTGTTGATCGAGCATATATGTATATATATAAATAAATGAATCAGCCACCAACAACAATTAAACAATTGGAAATTACAGGAAAACTGCTGGACAAACAGGAGTACCTGTGTTGAGAGAGATAAAGACAAGATAAAAATTAGTTAAGCTTGATAGAGTAAAGAGATTTTAAAGTTTTGAAAAACAACGTTAGTCTGCTGACACAGAAGAAGAAGCAATAAACAAGGGATATTTCTTTGAAAATCGACAAATCTTTTTACATACCGTTTTCTTCGAACTTTTTCACGACTATCGGACGCCGAGGCTAAAGTGAGAATTTAATTTGTTTTTATTAAAATTTTGAAAAAGTGAGTAACGTACCATCACTAAACTTGTGACCCTTACCTCGACCATAGCGAGCAAACTGAACGCGTATTTCCCGACCATCTAAATCTGCACCGTCCATACGATCGAGTGCATCCTCAGCATCACGTTTTTGAGCAAACCTGAATGAGCACAGAGTCTATTATACGTTAAATAATTGTTTTTTATATTTACCTGATAAAGGCATAACCACGGCTTGAACCTAAACACAAATAAACGACATTTTTTTTTGAGTAAACAAAGATAATTTATCGTTAACAACGTACGTGAAAATTGATCTCGTGGAATATAGATATCCCCGATTTCGCCAAATTTTTCGAATGCTCGACGTAAATCTTCAACACGTGTACGATACGTTAAATTATCAACTTTTAACGAATGCATAACATCAACATTAGGTGGCGTCGCACGTCGACCATCACTATCACCTCCGCCTCGTGAACGATTGCTCATTTTTCAATTAATATTCGCCAGAGATTCTGAAGCAGATACATAATAAGCAAAAATACAAAATAAAAGACACAAATAGTAAAGGTCAGAGTTCGGCTCAGTCTACATATCATGGTAAGGAAAAGAATTTTAAAAAAATTGACGATTTGGGACATTAAAAAATCCTTATCTTGTTTATCTCTAACAAGATTTTTTTATTCACCTAAGTATTCAGATGTACACCAAAGCCTCTCGCTTGTAGAATCAAAATTGCAAAACGAAAATTAGACATGACTTGTTTTCTGAACTCATTTTTTAATCTCAAATTGCTTTACAATCAGATACAAAAAATGTCTTAGAAAAGTAAAAGTACTTTGGACGCTGCTTCCACTTACTCAAATTCTATTATACGGGACTTATTTATCACGGCAGCTCTTAATCAATTGATAATGACGTATACGATAGATATATTTTGATCGGTTAGATTTTCACATTGTACTAGGTCGACATGTGGAGGTTCAACAAATAAGAACTCGCCTACAATAACGCGACACAATATGCTGAATATTGCTATGTAGCAATTTGTGAATCTTCTTGCTGTGTAGTATGGTCGCAGATTGAGAGTTCTTTCCAAAATAGATAAAAATCATCTGCGATTCGCTGGACCGTTTACTTCAATCGCGCTGCATGTAGTGGTCGCTCATTGCGCGAGCAAATGCATGTCCATTGCTAGTAAATGAAGGAATTCATGCCTCCCTACTCTCAGTGCTCGCAGCATGCATTTAGTGAACGCGCACGAGTTTATATCAACAGAAAGCTTTCGTTTATGGTATATCTCGGCTTTTGTAAAGTACAAGTAAAAAGTTTTCTGAAGATCTTGTAGAGATTCCCAGGTGCCGCTTAGTATAGTCACTCAGAATTTCTCATTCACATCAGCTCAGAAATTGGTCGAAAATTGGAAGTTTTTTGGAGAGATCTTACCTTAGAGAATGCCCAGTGTGTCTGGTCTTGAAAACAGAGTGAAGACTTATTTACTTACAGGTGTCTGTTTCCTATTTTTTTTCGTGTTCTGGTCAGCTCCAAGATCAGAAGAAAGTAATAAGACCAGACTCTGGTCTTATTGTCTGGTCAGTAGAAAAGGGAAAAGGCGCGCTTTTCTACTGACCAGACAAACAATAAATCTTAGCCTGTTCTTGACTTTTTTGTCTGGTCTTGGTATTTTCTGAGAAACAGACTGGTTCAAGACCAAAGCTAGGTTTTTTTTTCATAATCACCGTTTTATTTTGCTAAGTCACGTAGTATGTGGTGACTATTAATTCTTAGAAAAATTTCTATATTATTCTAGAGGTGATGGATGAGTAATGTCTTAGAAATTTCTGTGCTGAACAAGAGATATATAACGACATTCCGAGTCTGATGGTTACATTAGAAGGTCTCCAAAAAACTTTCTGGGTTTCTACTAATTTTTGCGCAGTATGGATGATTAGCGACCAGCACACCTAATTTTTACATATATACAACAAGCTCGCGGTCTTGATTTCTTCCACTAATCGGGCGAAAAACAGCTCCTGATCAGGAAAACAGGCAAGGACTTTTTTACTTACAGGTATCTGATCAGGCAAATCGGACACCCTCTAGGGTAGTCATCTCCCAGCTACCCTAGATGTTGCTCGGTCGACGCTCGCAGCTAGCATTTAGCGATGTCGCTTGCATTTTCACATTGACTAAAAAAAAGACTAAAACTGTTTTATTCATGAAAAGTGAGAGTCATCAAAGGTCACTGACCTGTAACAACAACGACTCAAGCCAAACACAAAAAGAGTCATAAAAAAATAAAAAAAATAAACAAGACAACTAAGATTAGAACCAGAAGTAGTAAAAAAAACAACAATCTTTTGAAAAAAATAAAAAACTAAATAAGCAAAAAAGAATAAATATAAGATCTTATAAGATTCTTGTACGATTTCGTCTGGTGTCGTAAGATTCGTATAAGAATTTGTAAGATTCTGTAAGAAACATAGAAACGGATTCTTGATGTAAGATCTTATAGTAAGATTTCGTAAGATTCTTGTATGATTTTCATAAGATTTTATAAAATCCTGTAAGATCCTGATCTGATTTTTTGACCATTATTCAAAGTCTGAACAATTTGCTTTTGAACTTCAAAAGCCTTATAGGGGCATGACTACAGCAGGTTGTCAAAACCTTTTGGGCGAGTAATAAAAGCTTGTAGCCCAAGCTTTCTGAAAATTCTCTTAGATGAAAAGAAAGTTCTAAGCCGATAAATACAGGAATAAGTCAACAGCTATATTGTTTAGCGGATTGATGTATGCTCGTGACTGGCCTGCTTCCATTTCAGCAAAGAGTAAGAGAAACAGACGTGTACCGAGAGCAAAAACTCGGTTTTATAGATTTCTGTGGAAAAAAAACGACAATAATCTAAAGTACACAATTGTAAACGTTTTCCCAGTATGTAGTGTTACAGTCCACGATTTTTCTACAACACATGATATCATTGGTAGGATTTATTGTTCAGCTTTCGTTACAATTTCATGAGAAGCCATGGCTGAGACTTGTCTCGCCTATGGTTTTTCATAAACATGCAATAAAAGTTGAGAAATTTTCACCGGCACCTTCTTCTGAGTGAACATGTTGGTTCTTTAATCCTTTATGGTCTATAATATTTGCTACATCGGATACTTACTGCACAAAGTCTACACGAACTGTACTATAAAACCGACAAAATGTCTGTACATGCTTTGATAACAGTGAAGAGACATCGCTTGTGTTTTTATAATCCTCGGCAACAGCTGTCATCGGATAAACTCAGCTGACCTTGGTTTCTCTCAAGGAGGAAAAGGCTCAGCCTCTCCGTAAAAAATCTTATCCTTTCTGACACTTTTTTCTGGTTACGCCACTGATGAACCTTCTAGTTTTCCAGTAAAATATAGGACATATAGGTTTATCCAACGATCGTAAGAAGTAAAACTCGAGTACTTCGTTGGACTTGGGAATGAATTACATATGGATGAATTTCACATTGTTTCAATGGGGAATCCTTTTCTTGCAAATTTACGTAATGATATGTTTTCGACTGAAGATCGGTGAGTGGACCGGCGACGATCTTCACAACCTCTACAATGGATTGTATACAAGTTTAACATAGGCACCCGTCTTGCGATGGACACTATTCAAGTGATAAATCGCTTTTTTAATAAAACCTGGTGGGTTGTAGGTTATCAACGATGCTGATTCTGAATCTGATCATGAGAGCGGCCCTTAGGCCTCCAGAGATCAGATTTCTGGAAAACCATTTTTCCACGACAGAAGAAAAAACTTTTCTGATCTGTCCAGCTTGTAGAGTGTGTCAGTAGGTTATAAAAAAATATTTTTGGTTTAGCCAAATCAGTCTTAAAACGCCCTACAAGGATTATTTTCATCATTCAGAAAAATGGTTTTCCAGAAGCCTGATCTCGGGAGACCTAAGGGCCGCTCTCATAATCATATTCAGAACCAGCATCGTCGATAACCTATAATCCGCAAGGTTTTATTGAAAAAGCGATTTATCACTTGAATAGTGCTCCTCGTTAACTCAATGTTCCCTCGTCGTACGGTCTTTGTTCTCTTCCGCAGCAGCCTCTCATCCCACATATTTATCAATTTTCGCTTCATGAATACCTCGTCGTCAAAACTAAAAGAGAAGAAAATGTTCAACGATTTAGATAACGGTTGAGATATGCTACAAGTTGTAGAAGCCAAACAACGGATCAAACAACGTAAGTTCTCTGTCATAATTTATAGCAACCTGTTCCAATTCAATATACATCAAAAACTGTCGTCGATAAGACGTGTAGCATGCATTTATATTACAATGAATTCTCGATTATCTTGAAGCATGTGAAAAAATAGGTTTCAACTAAAGAACACTCTTAATCTTAATGAAATTTGATGTGAAAATAATAAGGCCATACACATACATAAACTGGTCTTAAAACGCCCTACGAGAATTATTTTCATCATTCAGAAAACGATTTTCCAGAAACCTGATCTTTGGAGACCTAAGGGCCGCTCTCATGATCAGATTCAGAATCAGCATCGTTGATAACCTACAACCCACTAGGTTTTATTGAAAAAGCGATTTATCACTATCAGAAAAAGTTTGCCAGAAAATTTCCCGACATAATCTATAAACAGAATTCCTTTTTGCAGAAAGAAATTTCAAATTTTCTCCAAATCAATAAGTTTTCCCTCAACGATCGTCGGAGCAAACAGGCAGATTCTGCAGCTCTGGACCCGACACATCTCGATCGCTGGCTGAATGACCGCTAGATGGATTTACTGAATCAAATAGTACATCTATCGATAAACGAGGTTCGCGACAGTAGTCAGTTTTGAATTTTTGAAACTTTTGGAAGCTGAGAAAATTTTTTTCAAATAAGGCTGTAGACATTTGTTAACGGAAAATGAAAGCATCCACGATTTTCTTTTCTTGATTGTAGCAGCATGAAATTCAATTCAAATTTTAAAATGTATGAGCAGAAAGAGCAAAAGGAACTAAACAAAATCTGATATTATTTATATTTTTAGAAGAAATTTTGTTGACAAAAAATAGAAAATGAAGCACATTTTTAAAGAAAAAGTAGCTCATCTTTCCAGTAAAACAATTATTGTAAAAGCAGATTCAAAGATCCTTGGTCAGATTTTAGCACATCTTGTAGATGAATTCTAGATTCCCTACAAGGTGCACTATTGTGCATAAAAATTCAACTTCAATTGTTCTTAACGTGACTTTCATTTGTATAAAGTCATGTTTCACCTATAGCAGGTATAAAGCATGTAATCTATCTATACCTAAAAATACAAGTTCTATTCGTGACCTTGAGAGGTCATTTCACTGGTATTTCAACATAGGCTGTAGGCGTTTTCTCCTTCTCCTGAGAGTTCCTGCGAGATAAAAGAGATAGAAGATTTTTGCTTCGTTATTATCCAAATGTGTTTCTTTCGATGGTGATATTTATTACAGA